ATATTCCTAGAGAGATGTTTACTGATCTAAAGAGCCCAAGGATAAAGAGAGACACACATCTTCTTGCCTCCCTGGAGGGTGACAGAGCTGCTGTTAACTAGCAGGTGTAAATTAAGTTTCTGTGGGGGCCAGACATGGAGCCAGATGTCTTTAACCCTGGCATTTGGGAGACTTAAGGAGGATCACTTCAAGATCGAGGTCAACCTGAGTTATGCAGTGATCAAGGCCACCCTGCATTACATAGCAATGAACAAACCAACAAACCAACCAAAATATTTCTAAAGGTAGTATGTGTTAGGTTTCCAGCGCAGAAAAAAAACAAAGAAAAGAAAGAAGGCCTTTATTCAAGACATGGAGAGGGCAGCATGCCATACCAGACTCCTCTGGCTAGACAAAAGAGGCTGGGGGCTTATGAGGACTCTGGCTAGAGGCGGAGCTTGAGGGGAGGGCTCAGTGGTGTGTTAGGAGCTGACTGGGGCTTCCCTCGAGTGCAGGAAGGGTAAGAGGAAGTTGTGTTCATGGCCGGGAAGGAACCTATCAGTATGTACCTCAAGCTAGCTTTGTAAAGTATGATGAGGAGTAAAGGTAACACTACTATAGAAGAATTCCAATTCCAATAAACCACAGTTTAAAATGGAAGCAGTAACACATTAGGGAGGATAAATAGTAATAATATCTGACACTTATTGAACACTAATTCTGCCCCACAACCTGTTCTAATTGCTTATAATCAATGAACCCATTTAGTCTTTACAACTATCTATGAACTTGGCATTATTAGTGGCTTCATTTTAGGGCAAATCTACACTAGGGATTCAATGTCAGAGATGGAATTAAGCCTATGCAGCCTGGCTCTAGGAGTCTGGAAGCTGCAATTCTACCTCAGCCCACTACGATGCCAATACTATTAAGTTTAAGTACTTACTGGGGTAAAGGCTCTATGACATTTTGACAGCATCGTCTTATTTAATTTTCACAACACTGAAAGAGAGGTACTATTATTCCTGCTTTTTTATGGATGAGGAATACAAGGAGAGTAATGCAGGCACACGCAAGAAGAAGCTGAAGGTGCGTTGAATTGCAAGCAGACTCAGATTTTGACTGTGCCCTTTGTCTTCCTGTTTAAAATGAGCCTCTGGCAAGGGGAATACACATCATCTAAAGCATTCCAAAACCTGGCCCAGTCGGCTCCTGACTGTTCTGAGTAAAGCACCAGACCTTTCTGACGGATTTCTGTGTGATATTAAAGTACTTTCAATGCTGGCCAACTGAGAAACAAGTGAGTATGAATTTACAGGCACAGTGTGAATCGAAGGGGCATCGTGTGTGAATATTTTTTTATTATTATTAAGTTTCTTGGTGCCAATAAATTTATCATAGGGAAATTGTACCTGATGTCTTGATTCAAATTGAAATATAAATTCCCCAAAGCCTTGTAATATCTTCACACTTCCCTGCCCTTCTTAGAAGTTTTTACAGCCTTCTCGACCTTAAGACCCTACGACTAATTTAATGAGCAGCAGTTTTATTCCAAACAGTATTATTTATAATAGTTTCAAAGACCTAGCAACAATATGGTATCGGAGGATAACCCTATGGTAGGCAGAAAGAGTACAGGCTCTGGGGTTTGAAAAATGCTTCAGCTGTTCACAAACTGTGAGGCCCAGGGCATAGGATTTACTCTCTGAGCTTCATCTGTAAAATGCAGTTTCATTTTAAAACATCATTCTCTGACCATCAACTACCTGTCAGGCAATGTGTGAGGTAATGGTAAATTGACGCCAGGTGTGGTGGTACATGTTTGCAATCCCAGCACTTGGGAGGCTGAGATAGAAGGACTGCTGTGAGTGCAAGGCCAGCCTAAATTGTATAGTGAGACCCTGTCTCAAAAACCCAGAGAGTACTGTAAATTGTGGAGGTCTTGGGAAATTCAAAGATGACTAAGAAGCACCTCCTACCTGCTGAGGATCTCTAGCTTTGTGAGAAATGATGGTAGTGACACTTGTCTTATAGGGCTATTCTGAAGATTAAATGCAGTGTACTCTCTGTAATGCTCAATAAATGGTGGTTCTCTTTTTTTATTTCAACCTATTATTTGAGCATTATGTGACACTGGGGTTAAAAAATGCAGGGAGTAAGAGTTTTTGAAGAGTACAGCTGCTTATACGTTTGAAGTTTATTTTTCAGGATTATTACTAAAGTAATAGTTCAAATGAATTCTAATATTTCCTTTATAATTTACTGTATTTACTTATACTGTAACATTTTTAGTATTACAAAAGAGAAAAAGGAAAAGCGAACAATTCAAAGGCACAGAAATCCACTGGGAGCAGGACAGTGGCTGAGTAAGTTGCTCCAGGGACTGGCTCCCCATTTGAACAGTAATGTACGCACCAATCCACCTTTACAGGATCTAAGGGAGCCAGCTGAAAGACCAGTGCCAAGTTTCAGCACAATAAGGCAGAAAGGAAAGAGTTATTTGCGTTGCCTCTCTCCTAACACCAAGCAGTAGCATGGAAACAGGAAATTAAACCCATTAGATTTCAAGTCCAGTACCAGGCCTACCACAATGAAACTCAAAAGGTACAGGAATCTATTTAAAATGGCTGAATAATTGCTACAGCTCTTTAGTATAGTGCTGCTGAAGCGAGCACTGCTATAGCTTTTGTTATACCTAAGTTTTGCCATGGGTCTGTCAGATGTGGAAGTGTGAAACAAAGGCATCTTTATTGTGTTTAGAATGTAATGAGTAGAACTGGATATGTAGTTCGGTGGTACAGTGTTTCCCTAGCATGTATGAGGCCCTAGGTTCTCATATTCTCTCTCTCTCTCTCTCTCTCTCTCTCTCTCTCTCTCACACACACACACACACACACACACACACACACACACACATTTTATACTGGATGGGTCATAGGTAGAAGCTGTTAGCATTAATATTCTTATTGCAATAGCAAACTCCAATAGAGATTGCCACTGAGTTTGATTCCCATAGTGCTGAGGAATAATTCTGAATAGTAAACAAAAAAAAATTATGTCTTTGAATAGATAATAAGAAGCAACAGATTTGTGCATGAAATTTTCTAGGGATAGGCTGTAAATCTTTTTAGGTATTCTCAAAGAAGCATTTCTCCCTATAGCAGTTAAGCTGGGGAGACAACTCTTGGAGCAGATCTTGCACAGATGGTCAAGCCAATAGACCCCACACTATCAGTCTAAATGGATATTTGGTTCTCCTGACTTTGATAAACACAATTTGCAAATCTGACTGCAGTCCTCCCAGCCGGAGGAATTTGCAAGTGTGAAGGCCCCCTAAACAAAGGCCCCAAGTTTTCTGAGAACATAGGATCTTTTCCTTTTTTCAAAGATCACTGAACCCCTTTATTTTCCCAGGATACTACTGGCTTTGGTTTTAAAATTCTAACTAATCAATGGTGTTTATAGTGAGAAAAAGCCAGCTAAAGAGGATACAGAGACCTTCTGTGGGAGCAGGAATGTGATTACAAGTGATGTAACTGGCAGCAAAGGAGTCTGGCCTAACGCCAGTGAAAGTGAGAACAGAATAACACAGCTCAGTGGGAGGGAAACAGAAGTCAGAGAAGGAACCATTTTTCCCTGGCTGCAAGGAGGGCAGGAGACTAGACATCCTGTGTTTGTGAGGGTGAGGTGGGTGGGGTGGGTACTGCTTGTCAATCAATTTCAGGATTGCGAGTGAAATCCCACGAGCTAACAGGAACAGCAATAACATTAGGCACGTGCTCACACCCAGCATGTTACCTCATTTAATCCTCATAATCTTTGAGTTAAATACTTTCCTCAAGGTCACAGAGAAAGTAGGAAAGCTGAGATTCTGGCTCACTTCTGACAGATGCCATGGGCTATTCTCAGTCGCCAAACAATGCAGGCGGGCAATGTGGTATTTGTTAATTAGAGAATGCATATAAACAGTTGGCTTAACTACAATAATGTCTTTTGGCAGGAAAGAAACAAGGAGGGAGGAGGACTCTTAAAAAAAATGTAGTTCAGGCTGGCCTCAAACTCACAGTGCTCCTTCTACCTCGACCTCCCAGGTGCTGGGATTACAGGGGTGCACCACACATGGCTCTTTTTATTTTATGTTTATTTTTAGCAAATTTAGGTCATATAACTAGTAAGCTTCATTAACTATTTGATCTTCCATCACACTATACTGCTTTCACAGCAGATTTCTTTTCTTCTGGTTGTTTGAAACAGGGTCTTGCTATGTAGCCCAGGCTGGCCTTGAACTAAGTATGTAGCCCAGGCTGGCCTCGAACTCTCACCATCCTTCTTCAGCTATCCAATTGCTGGGATTACAGGTGTGCTATAGCTGTGAGCTATGCCTGGCTCACAGCAGATTCTGAAGAAAAGCTGACAGAATGTGACAGTGCCATTATATACTTGTTAAAATGCCTTCTGAGGCAGCTATAACCAGTCGAATCCACAAGATGAGCTCTTTAGCAGAAGACAGAGAAAGGGTATGCACAGCAAATCTGACTAAAATGAATGGTCTACACATGAAGTCAAACTGTCAGACATTTTCAGCCTAGCACACAGATAACTATGGAAATTGCTTATCTGCTGTGCACTCTACCAGCATCACCAAATCTTTTTATATTTATTGTTTTGCTCTCTATCTTACAGAGCTATGCAAAGAACACCTTCTATCATCGTTATAATTAAGAAAACAACAATTTTATAATGAAGAAAAAAGCTTTTCAGAATAACAACAAACAGTACCCAAATCAGTCTGACAGAAGACAAAAAAGTTCACAGTAGAGATGTAGGAATATCTACATGGGTACCACAGGACAAGATAAAACCAGTTTTATAAAAGAATAGCCTAAGTGATCTGACTCATATCCATGCATTAAAGGTATCTGGGCAAAACTTCAGTGCTGGTTATATCACCTCACCTACTTCCTGCCTAAGGAGGCCATAAAGCATAAAAAAACAGGTGGGAAAATTATAGACACACTTACAGTTGCATGTGAGATGGTCAGAATCCCATTCTTGACAGCACACTTCCTTCTCTGCCACACTTTCCGGATCCTAGGGAGCAAATCAAACAGAACTATACAGTGTCTGATTCACTCTGAGGCATGTAATCACACAGTGATAGTAAAGATTACAAAAACCGTAGTTCCAAAGAGAAAAATCCTGTCCCTCCCCCAACCTGCATGAAACACAATATTCAGGTTGTTTTAAAATCCCAAGGAGAAGGTATTTGAGACAAGTAGGCATGGAAAAAGGTGCTCATTACAGCACTGATTTTGATAGTGAAAATGGGAAATAGAAACAACAGAAATCTAGCAGAATAAATAAATGAATCCTAGTTACCACACAGGTAGAATTCTTCCTTTCCAGGAAGGTGCCCAGATCTTTATTAGGGGTGGTACTATAAGGAACTTGTAGCTACATCTATGAATCTTATAAGGAGGTTTTATTAAGTTGATTACTTCTACAATTAATAGATTTTTTAAAAAAATCAAGAAGTCAGCCATGCTGAGAGGAGCGGAGGCAAGCCCAGGAGTGGAGGTAAGGCTGCTTCAGGATACAGAGAAAGGAGTTTATAGTGTCCAATGCACAAGACTGTATTGCGACTGTATTTGATGATGCATACACCTCCATTTTGAGGTCTTCTAGAGCCAAAATGATGTTTCAGAGCCCATGAAAAGAGAATCATATGAGAAAGTAAGTGTGGTCAAAGCATTTATAAGCAGCTGTGATAATGTACTTTGGAAAGTTTGATTTGATCGTGCCAGAAGATGGAAAAAGCTAAACAGAAATAATTTCAACTAGGAAGAGTTTTTTTAGAGGCTTCAGGTAGAGGCAAGAGACACCAACAGGTGCAGCTACACTATTGGGAACCACTTCCACCAGGTAAACAGAAATGGGTAGGTAATAAGGATTCCTTAGACTGGGAGAATTCAGGCCAGGCCTCCCACTGTCATGGAAACCAATTAACCTTTCCAGGCTTTTAAAACAGTATCTTGAATTTTTCTTTTCCTTCTTAAATTGTCCTGAGCTGCCACAACACAAATTTATAACCAACACAGATAACATTGTTTTCTGTACATTCAACTATTAGAAGCATAGTTTGTTCTAAAGCCAGCTTCACAGAAGGAAATGAGAATTTGATACCACCTTAGCAGGTGTAAACTAAACATACTCTACTCAAAATGCTAGTCTCTTGAGGAGGTAGTTTAGAGCTACCAATTGAGAAACTGTCCTCAAATTACACCTAAATCACATTATTTTCTTTTGTAAGTACTGGCTAGGGATGTTTACCTGTCAAATAATTTTACCTGTTTGGTTAATATAATCAGCTCTCTGCATGTGGTTCTGCATCTCACCCTTACAAAACCCTGTTAAGACGGGTGAGCTATTCCATGTACACACTAATTCAAAATTGGTGTCATTCCTTTTCAGCAATGTATTTTAAAATGAATTATCAAACCAAACAACTATTCAACCTTGAAGAAAGTGTTCCTCTCAGTTTATCATTTTATTTATTTAAGCCTTTATTCATTAGGTTTTTCTACTCACGTGTATTAAGGAAACACCAAATAAACAAAGACCCATATTCTCTTTGTCAGCTAATAAAATCAAAGAAAGTAACACAAAATCTTTTTAACAGAGATTGCTAATGAAGTACCTGAAGATTGCCAAAGGACAGAGCATAATAACAAGATATTCTTCAAATACGTTCGAAGAGCCCACCATATCTTACGGAATTCCAAGATATTCCCCGGGAAGCAGCAGCATCTGATTTTTGTAAACACTTGGACAGTCTTTTTCTAAAAAATTGGACAGTGGCCTTGTACAACTAAGTAAATACCAACTCTGAGGCTGGATCACTTAGGCTTTGGTCCTCACTCTAGCAAACTCCTAGCAAAGCCATAACTGCTCATGTTACCTAAACTCTTGGAGACTTATGTGCCTTAAACATATCATGAAGGTAACAGTGCCCATTTTCTTGGATTACTTTGAAAAAAAAAATATATGTAATTGGTCCTTTGTCTTTCAATAAAAGTCTTTGGTACTTAAAGTTTTAAGAATTATCTAAACAATTTAAAACCAGTTCTCAAAATGTTTAACAATTCTTAAGTAATAAAGAATATTTCAAAATTTGGATCAGATTCCTATTGCAAATGTCTTTAGGAGAAAAATCGCCTGTCATCAGCAGTTATCTTTAGCAAGTGAGTCTGTCTTCGTGTATAGGCGTTTTAGTATTTTTTTCATTCACAGAAACAATCACAGCAACCCTGAGTTATCATTATTCATCTTTGCTGCCTGTGCAGTGTTATTAGGAAGTCTGACTTCCAAAACCTCTTTCCTTATCTTTTGCTAACAGATTGCAGGCAGGGTGAGAGTCAAGGCCACACCACACTTAGCTTTTACCTTCCATCATCTCACAGACTGCTTCAGATTTCACAGGGATTTATGTGTATGAAATGAGCGCATGAAGGAGGAACAGACTAAATAGAAGAAACTTGGGGCAAGTTTGCGCCGGTCTGTCTCAAATGTGCCAAGGCTCACGATCAGCAGTGGTGGGTCCTTTGAACTGTGAGACAGATGCCTGACAGTAAATCAGAACAGCTAGGTTCAAATTTGGGCTCTCACACTTACTCCCTGTATGATCTCAGCCGAGTTTCTCAAACTCTGAAAGTCATGAAAAGAGATGAGCAAGAGGTACTGACAGAATGGCAGGCCAGGCATAGCAGATGATCGCAAGCACTGACCTTAGGGTCTGAACTAAACATGGGAAAGGACTGTGACTGTCTTGGGCATGCAGATGTCACCCCTTAGAAACAGAAGATTTTATGTTCAAGAAAATTATACTTCAGGTGGCAGTGTTAAAAAATATGATTATACTTCTGTTTCAAAGGATATGTAATAGTACACACTTACAACAGAACACACTTTCGGTCTGTGGGAGAACCACGGGGCAGTGCATTTCTAAGAGATGCCCGCTGATGGTCAGGAAAGGATGGGGTGCTTAGACTGAGACTTTCCAGCAGGACACACTGTGGAGTTCCTGATATATGCACACTCAGCCCATGCAGCTTGGCTTATAATTCCGTCACCGTGCCAGTTCCCACTGGCTTGAACTACTGGTGGTACATGCATGACTGCCTGATGGGCAGCCTGGGGCACCCTTCCCAGTGGGTGGTACAGGCTGCTCGATGGGATAGTCATGCTCAAATGGCCCCATTGTGAACATGTTAAACCTGTGATTTTGGTGGTTGATGTGTCATTTCTTTTACTTTTCAGCAGGACTTACTTAACTAATTCTACAATGTGCCAGGCACTATGCCATGTGATGAGGGTGCTCTTCTTTGTTCACACCCAGATCAGCACATCAAGTCAGCCCTCCCTCCGTTATTCAGAATTTGACCTCTTTTCACCACTTCTACTCCTACTCCTCTGAGCCTGCCATCACCTCTCCCTTATTTCTGCAGCAGCCTCCTCTGATCTATCTTCTGCTCTTAAAGCCTACATTGTAAGTCTTTCTTAGAATGGTGGCCAGAGAGAATCTTCCAAAACCAAATCACGTCACTCCCCTGCTCAAAACGCTTCCATACCTCTCATCTCGCTCAGGAGCTCCAAAGCTCCCTGGCTTGGACCTCATGTCCTATGACCACTTGGTTTGCTCTAGTGCATTGATGCTGTACTCCTCACTATCTACCACAATGAGAAGCATGCTCCTGGACACTCCCTCTTCTCCTGGCTACTGTGTAGGCTGCACCTTAACTTCCTTCAGGTCTGGGCTCCCAAGTCATCTCAGAGAAGTCTCCCTGACCTGGTGACAGCAACAATCCTCTTCCATCTCCCACACTCCCCGCACCTCTTGTTTGCTTCATCCTTTTCTACAGTACTAACTGCCACCTGACTTTCCAAATAGGTACTCATTTTTTTGTGTTTCCTCCTTTAGAATATGAGCTTTGTAAATGTAAGGACTTCATTTAATACTGTATTCTCACTAGCTTGAAAAGTGAATCTGAGACATACAGGATTATCCAAAGATATTTTTTGAATGCATGAATAGAATGATGAGCAAAAAACAAACAGAAAACAAAACCAAAAACCAGACAATGATCCTAGAAATTTGAGAACTATTGCAACAACCTAAAACAAAGCATATATACCTTAGGTGAAGACACATATCATATAATTACTATATGATATCATATAACTACTTATATAATTACTATGAAATAGAATCATCTCAACAGGCCAGTGTGGCAGGACCAGGGGAGCAATGGCCTAAGGAAAGGCAAATGAGAAAGGCTAGGCAACATACTATATGCAAGTGAAGACACTAGGCCATTCTGAGCAAGGGTATGCTTTACAGTTCTGAATAAACCACTCAAAGTGCTGCGCAGAGGTGAGACGGTGAGGGAGAAGAGCGAGAAGAGCAACAGATTCATTAGGAGACTGCTGAAGAGTCCTGGAGAGATGACGGTGGAGCACCTGGCGGTGGGGGGGGGGAGGGGCAGCAGAAACGGCAAGCAATGCACTACTGTATTTTTAGGTTAGGAAAGGAAAATCTTTAGTCATACTGCCTGTGATGTAAGAAGGTCAAGGACAACCCCTGAGGCTGGGTTCTGGGCAGCCAGGTAGACATTCCACAGCAAAGACAGAAACAGAGGTGCTTTCTCAGCTCTTGCCTTCCTAAAGTACACATTACAAGTCACAAGTGCTGCTTGGGGCTACAAAGCAATTACTGATTTTATTTATTTTTTTAAATAAAGACTGGTTAAATCTTAGACTTCTATGAGGAGACCAGAGCACTGAAAAATTTTTAAGTATATGTTCTAATCTAAGAGGCTGGGAAAAGTTCCTGCTTAATAGCACCCAATAACCATACTGATCACACCATGGGGCCCTGGGCTCACACTCACCCATCGCTTTTCTTTAGCAGGTACCCCTTCTTTTCACTGCCATACTCCTTATTGCCCTGGAGCTGATGCATGCTATATCCTCCTTGCCGGCTCTGGGAATCCTAGGAAACAGAAACCACAGGTTAAATGAAAACCGGAGACAACTCTGATTCCTGACCCTATTCTACCATTGGGCCTTTGCCCACTGGTCTAAGGGAATTACGGATCTTTGAGAGCTATTAGGTCCTTGCCTTCATTTTACAAGAGGAAACTAGGAAGGTAAACACTGGCCAGAATCCAAAGCAGGTCTGAGGCAGACATGGAGCCTGGGGTCCAGGTCTTCTATTTCTAGTCCAGAACCTAGCTTTACTGTGAAGTGAGTTCAAATATACAGAAAATATCGGCAGACTACAATAAGACTCAAACCAGTTTACACGGCAGTAGAAACAAACACAAGAAGTAATGGAGAACCGAAATGGACCACAAAACAGAGTCCACACAATGTGAAGGCGCTCTTCTGTTAAGTTACACTTTTTCTCCCTTACATATTCTGTGAGTTTACTCTACCTAAAAGGGGAATGTTCTAAGTGACCAGTAAACAACCATTATGAAGTTTCTATTTTATAACTATTCTGACCATCCCAAATTAAAAAGTCTAAAATCTGAAAGTTTTAAGTGCTGATAATCCCAAAAAGTTTGTGAAGTATTTCAGATTTATGATTTTTCAGAATAGCGACACCAATAGTAAAGTCTCCAAATATTTCAAAATTTTGAAAAACTCTGAGATTTGAATTTGGTCTCAAGCATTTCATATAAGCATACTCAGTCTGTAGCGCTTCTGTAATATATACCTACCACAATATGTTTTTTTCTTTTGATACTGGGGCTTGAACCCAGAACCTCTGCCCTGAGTTATATTCCCAGTTATATTCCCTTTTTTATTTTGAGACTGGGTTTCACTAAGCTGCCCAGATGGGGTTGAGCACCCTCTTGTTTAAAAAGATGATTCCATGGCAGTGGGAAGTGTATGATGCGGTAAAGGTGACAGGGCCAAACCAGCAATGCAGATGCAAGCAGGCCTGATGTCGTGTGAGCACCCCACCAGGGCTGAACCACAGTATCTAAGACAGCATGACTAGAAACAGCCATTACATTATGAACACATAAGAAACAGATGAACAGTGCTGAGTGAGCTATAGAATGAGAACATGGGTCTCCAGACAGTAAGGACAATACATTCTCACAAAAAGCATTGACTTACTCTCCTAGACTTCGATCAGGAAGGGCAAGAGCAACAGAGAAAAAAAGGCAGAACATTTGAAAATATAGTTAATTTTGTTGAAAAGTTTATCATCCATAATTTTAGCACTTTATATATAATGAACAGAGAAAACATCATTGCAAAGATAAAGCACTGTAAAGATAAACTATACACACTTAGAATTATGACATACTTTAGGTGGTGATCTTCATATCTATCAGGTCATGCTGAGTGAGTGCAGAAACACAGATAAATGAAGACATGAGGTACATATTTCACCAAGACAGAATGGCTGAAAAAACTCAAATGTGTGTACATAGGGTATCAGTATTTTAGTGAAACCAAAAATGAATTACCGAGAAAGAGCCACAGTTCTGTTCGTCCCACCTGAGGTGAAGAGAACTTAGTAAATATATCCAGTTCATAAAAAACACCTGAAATGTAGTGGGCTGAGGGGGAGTTAAACTCTACCACTGGTCATTCACTATGACTATGCACAGTACACCTCTAAAGCCAGGACGGCTTCTTCTAGATACGCAGGACCCTTTGGGTAGCTGGTGTGTGCTCAGTGATGCACGTTAATGTCAGTTACCAGATGCAGGAACAGCTCTGGGACAATGTGCTTCTGGAAGGCTATTCTACTTCTGATGAATTCTGTGTTGAAAAGCATGTCCCAAACAACTCCTGAAAGTCAGGACTGAGTGACTGAGGACCTTGAAGGGACTGAGCCCTGCCTCATAGTCTGACCATGCCACTGTCCTGCGCTCTTGTGCAGTTACTGACAGCTAACCAGGCACAGTGACTCATACGAAATAAGCAACAATCTGAGTAACTTCTCTCTTCAACAGGCCTGAGTCCTTCCATCTAACGAGACAATTTTGATTATGTGGGGAAGGGTCAGGTAGAGGGTGAAGGCTAGGTATTTCTAAGTGTTTACAGTTAAACAGAATCCATAGCCTTGAACTACACAGTAATTTGGCTAAGTCCTTGTGCTTTCTAGGACTGAGGAATTAGACTAAACACCAGAGAGACAAAAAAAGCAGCCTGGCTCTACTAGTGCTACTAGCATAGTCCCCAGGAACAACAGCAGGAACAGAGTATTTTCTTGAGGGGGCACCATTTCGTCCATAACCCTGATTATGGAACATTAGTTCTGGAGATAAATAAAATTCATAGAGTTTCCTGGTTTAACCCAATGAAATTGCATGAAAATTACAACTATTACTTTAGAGCCAGGAATCTCCTATCTCCCAGAAACGTTAAAAATAAAATCAGAAATCTCCTTAAATATCAATTCTTATTTTTTTTCCTCTCTTTTGTTTTTGTACTGGGAATTGAACTCAGGACCTTGCACTTGCCAGGCAGGTGCTTGTGCCACTAAGCTATATCCCCAGCTCAATTCTTATTAAAAAGAATAATCTGAGAACTCTTGGCATTGAACTAAACTTCTCTTCATCTGTTTACATAATTCTTAGGTCTAAATGCTTTAACTATGTATTTTAGCTCACTTGCTAGCCTTTAGAAGTCTAAGTTTAAAAAATAAAAGCCCTTGTATATTTTCTTACACACAGATTCAAATATTAATGATATGTAGAAAACTATTATATTCTAAAAATGTAACATGAAGACATTCTTTACACATACAACTTACATAAACCCTAAATTCTGAACACTTAGATTAAATGCGTTTGTTCTACATCAGACAAATATACTTTTAGAGGTGCGTCAACTCTAGCTTTGACTTCATTAAGAGAGCAGAAAGCAAGCACTGTGTTTCAGAAGTCCAGCATTGGCAATCCTAAATGAACTATGCATGAGTTTCATGTCTTAATAGTTCTATCGCTTATTATCTGTGCACTTTGAGAAATAATGATCAGCTTGCTTAGCAGAACAATATAAATGGTGAAAAGAGGATTTTCTTTTATTAGAAAGGAGATATTGAAAAATTCATAATACTAATCATGATTTAAAAATACACATACTATATGAGAAATGAAATAGGTCCTGAAGACCAAACAAAATACTGCATATAGAACACACTGCTTAGGACCTGCAACATGGTTACCAGCATAGCAATGATTTCAATTGCTTTACATGGGTTTGTTAAATAAATGAGAAAAACATATCCCACCAAAGCACATTTAAAATATGTACATATACATATATCTTTAAGTATATAATTTAATATGCCTATATATTTTAAATTTTTATATATATACCACATATACACATACACACACACACATACATACACACAAGAAAAAATCTGAAAGAATACAGTGTAAGCTGTCTCTGAATAGTGGAATTTTGTTTTAATCTGTATTTGCATGTATTTTCTATAATAAACATGAATGATTAAGTTAGGGGAAAAAGTAGGTTCTCAATTCTTTGACAGCATAACAGAAATCAACCATGCATTTAGGAAAGACAAATGCAAATGAAAATAATTATTTGGTAAAAATACATAAGTTGGGGGAAACTTCATGATGTGAGCCAGTAAATATAAACTATAGACTGAAACTATTATTTTTAGTTCATTTTCTCTTCTTTATTAGCAGTACAAACAAATCACTTCACTTTTTTATTTGAGACCCTATTAATACATAAAACACATTATTAAACAGATTATAAAATCTCAGATCTCTGTTTTGTTTTGTTTTTTTGGGTTTTTCTCCGGTACCGGGAACCGAACTCACGGCCTTGCACTTGCCAGGCAGGTGCTTTTGCCGCTGAGCTAAGTCCCCAGCCCCTCAGATCTCTGTAAATAGCAAGCAATGATACACTCAAGGATTTAAAGGGGTTATACATGTGTATCTGGTGTCCAATTTAAAACCAAACCTCTATTATAGGAACTTCAAATTTCTAACGTATGGTGTGAGTTGGCAAAGGATTCCTTCTGGTTATATCTTTTTTTGGTCTTTTTGATACAAGGTCTCCCTGTGCAGTTCAGGTTGGTCTTGAACTCACTTTGTAGCCCAGGTTGGCCTTCAACTCACAACAATCCTCCTGCCTCGGCCTCCTGAGTGCTGGGATTAAAGGCATGCGCCACCATGTCTGGCTGATTGCATCTTAATAAATATTCATCAAGTAGTTTTTCAGTGCCAGGCAATGTGTCAGACAGTGCAAATGAGACAGAGGAGCAATGTATAGAATCCACCAAACCTGCAAACCACACTGCACTGGGCTATTCAAAGTCCATCAGTTACTCAAACAAAAAGGTGAAGTTTTTGAAATGATTTTGTATACCATAAATATAATTCATCTATATCACTGTCAAAAACAGAGTATTTGTAACACTAAACATAGTTATGTAGTAAATTTCTTCTGGGAGATTAGGCTATTATAAAAGGTTACAATAATTCATTTTATAGAACACTTGCCAAAGACAATTAAAAACTTGACAAGAAAAAAAGTGAACCTTTCAAAAATCCAGGGATCTATTTACAAAGAAAAATCTTAGTTTCTTTTTTTTTGTTGTTGTTTTTTGTTTTTTTTTCCAGTACCGGGAATTGAACTCACGACCTCATGCTTGCCAGGCAGGCACTGTGCCGCTCAGCTAAATCCCCAGTCCCCTTAGTTTCCTTTAATGGAGCTACGTTAGAACCTTGTGGAGGTAAGAAGGTTAAATGACTTGTTGGGCACTTCCACATTAGATTAAATGTGAGACTAGAATATTCACCAGAGCTCTTACCACAGCAGTACTTTTTGAGAAACATACACCATAAGACATTAAAAATCATTACTAGCTCTACATATTTTACAACAAGAGATGATAAATGCATGAGAAAGGGAGAGGTATGAGTAAAAGATGAATTTTTCTTGTAAAATACTCTGGGCCTGGGGCTAACGAAAAGCCATTTATTAATTTAGGGTGCAGTTAAATCAAATCATGGGCATTTTATCATGTGTATAATCCTTTGGCTTATGAGAAACTTTGTTATTTAGTTAGCAGAATACATCAGTCTCTATGCAAAACAAAAAAGGACTTTTTTTCTCTTTTAAGAAAGTGCCCATATTTAGGAAGGAGGTAATCTTGTGTGACAAAACAAAGGTAGGAAACTGTCAAGTGCATTCCAGTAAGTAAAAATTCTCATGTTTTTTCCTTGAGACAGAAATCTACCTTTACTTCCTTCAAATTGGGTTGTGCTCTTGCACTTACATGAAGAAATCATTCACAGAGATCACTTCTCCAAGGATGTGTAAGTCAGTGATAAACAGCTTCTAGAAATACAGCATATCTGTGTTTCAGTCTTTCCTATACTGAGGTTCTATCACTTAGAAGTTCTAAAACAGGCTGAGTCCTCAGACCAGAGGTTCAGTTACAGCTGGAGACTGCCTGGTACAGACGCTGCCTCCACGCACAGATCCTCCTGGCCATTATGCCTCCTCCACAGGCGAGTGGGCACCCAGTGTTAAAGGGCTATGCTTTTCTCACCTGAACAAAAGTAAGCGAATACGAAACTGTATTTGGAGAAGCAGAAAGTTGAGTTGTAAGCACTTAGTAAAGAAAACTTTCAGGGCTGTTGTACCTATTTTTTTTTTTTTTTTTTTCTCTGGTACCGGGAACCGAACTCACGACCTTGTGCTTGCCAGGCAGGCGCTTTTGCCGCTGAGCTAAATCCCCAGCCCCTCAGGGCTGTTGTAAAGGCCAGTGTGCTTTAGACTCATGAATCCCTTTCAGAAATTTTATGAATTTTAAAAAGTGAGAACGCCACTGTTGTAAGACATCATAAGGAATTGACAATATAAAAAAAGTTGTTTCATGCAATTATTAAATATTACAACAACAAAAAATAAATATTACATTTAAGTATTGTACTTAAATTTAATCTACAATGATTTCATAAGAAAAACAGGCACATTTCACTTTCTCCCACATAACAAATGATGCTCACTGTTTAATTTACCCTTCCTAGAAAGTCCCTGCTCCTCACTGCAAGATCCAGGTTCCTTCACAATCAGGTCTGAGTTTTCATCTCAGAATCCACTTTTCACCCCTCCTTCTACCCCATCCCAAACTACTTCAGCACCTGAACACCAGGCAGATTTCCACCTGGCTTGCTTAGGTTTCCTCTGGTTATAGGCTACTTTCTGTGGAATCACAAAGAGCATCAAAGCCATTTTAGAAATGACTGATTGTTCATATGGCTTATTTGTTCTACTAGACAATGAGCTCCTTGATGGAAAGGACTAAAGCTTAATACCTGGAATAGGGGTTGGCACATGGTGCGTGTTAATTCCATGCTTGAGCAAGTGGCATTTACATTAAGAATTTGTGCCACATTCATCTAACATCTACCACATACTGTGTATTGTTTCAATATCCAAGGACCATCTCACTTTAATTTTCCTAACTGTGGGGAAAAGCTTCCACAGGATTCTACATGAAAACATTTTCTTATTTTCATGGCAAAAAGAGACATGCCCTTTCTGGCTCTCCAGAAAGATAAAGATGGTCTACAACAGTGATGGTGAACCTTTTAGAGCTTTTAATGACAGTAAGCAGCTGGTCCCAACACGTGAGCCAGAGGTTTGCCACCATGGTTCTAAAGACTATCACAGAAATAAAGAATCTAGAGTTACAGAATTATAGATCAAGGGTTTCTTTCCAAGAAGGATGGAGACGTAACTACAATTCAGTTTTTATACTGGGTATCACATACTAGTAGTATCCTAGGTCTCATTTGTCCCCCCCGCTCCAACCCCTCTGGCAGGAAGCTGTCAATGTGCCTGTTTTGGAGATCAGGAAACACAAAGAGTATATCACAAACAGCCTCACTTACACTGTTAGCCCTGCTGGGAACATATAAACCACCTACTTCTTTCTGATCAAGCTGAAGAGAAGATTTTATTAAGTCTCTGAGTGCAGTTAGCTGTTTCTTCTCTTCATCCTGGGTCTGTTTTATCTATGGAAGAAAAAAATTACTTCTATTACATATTGTTTAAGCTTTTATGAACAGAGTTTAATTTATCCAAATATACTACTCATCATCAGTTCAATTATACAGTTGACTTTCTTATTAAAGTCTGTTATACTGTCTCATTTTAAAATATGAGGCAGAGTTTTCTCATCTTGAGGAAGTACTGGTAAATTCTCAACTTAGGCACCATGCTTTATTATTAAATAATCCAACTAAGTTAGACAATTTTTTTTGAAACACTATTTCACATAGGGTTAAGACATTATAGATATGCCTGTAATCCCAGCTCCTTGGGAGGGTGGGACAGCAGGATCAGAAGTTTGAAGGGCAATTTAGTGAAACACTATCTTAAAATAAAATTTTAAAAGGGTTTTCACTAAAGCTCGGTGGTAGAGTGCTTCCCTAGCACGTGCCAGCACTGAAAAAGGAAGAAAAAAAGAAAGAAAAGGAGAAAGAATAAAAAAATCATGCTTCTGGCTTTTCAAAAGGTGGTAACAAGAACATTCATGATGTGATAAAACGGGCCAGAATTGTACGAACAATCAAGAATCCAATGGGCCAATGCATATATAAAAGTTTATACAGCACTATATGAGGAATAAAGAATTGTGCTAGCTTTAAAAAATCATTGGAAGGGCTGGGGACTTAGCTCAGCGGCAAAATGCCTGCCTGACAAGCGCAAGGTCGTGAGTTCAGTTCCTGTTACCAGAAGAAAAACAAAACAAACAAACAATAAAAAAAAAAATCATTGGAATTTAACTGTAACTTAAACTATGTTACCTACTAAAAGAAAATCAGAAATACACACCTATGTGTCTTTTATGGTACTTTTTCCCCTTCTTTTAATAATATTTTAATTTTCTGTATTATGAAACAGGGACAGCACAAAGTTAAGTGGTTCAAAAAATCAGTACACACCATTCTTAAATCTTAAATCTTACGGGTCACTTACAAATGGAAATAATATGTATAATTCTGCATATATTCATCATTCTATGTTCTCCAAAAACAAGCAATAATACACAAAGTTAATATAATGCTGCAATATCGTAATACAGCCAAGGGGACATTATATAACGAAGGGTATTTTATCTGGTATATATTAGATTCATCTTTTCCATTTGTAACTTTGTTTTCTTCTCTCACATTTTTAATTTATGCATATTTGTCATTCAGATTAAGTGGTTTCACTTTGGCAGATTTGTACACGCACATAATATCACCTCAACTCCCCACATCCCACCCTTTCCCTTATACAAGAACACAGGATGAGCATTTTTATCTGAAAATTTTCACAGTATTTTTGGTGCACCCGCACTGTGACTGTAACCTGTCACACGAGGACAGGTGTGGGGTTTTCCACTGTGTCATTTCAGTCAATGCTCAAAGTTTCAGAATTTGGAGTATTTTGGATTTCAAATGTTTGGATCAGGGATATTCAACCTGTGTATTTGTATTATCTATAACTTCAAAGCCTTATCTGAGTATGTACACATACTTGTAAGACATTCTTTTGATACCCATCACTGAGTGGTTTATAGGCAACAGGCCTGTCAATTCTACAGTTCTATGTATGTAGTTAGTCTTTTTCTCAGAGGTTTCTTTTAGATTTTCCATTATTTATAGCAAAACCTAGATACTAAAAAATAGAATGAAGAATACTAGATAAAAAATTCATAAACTTCCCACTCAGAGAAAGTTAATGTTTATCCTTCCATGATCAGGCATTCTTTCTGCAACTGCTAACCGAAGGGCAATGAAAGGAGAAGCTACTAAGCCCTGATGTAACATCCAGAACCAATGGCTACATATTCTCTTCCCAGATGAGCCCATGCTCTAAAAGGTACACTGCAGTATCTGGGCACTGACGACTTCTCTGAGTGACACGGAAGGCTTCTCTACCCTGGTTTTAAACTGACATCACTTAATCTTTTCTGCTTCTAAAACAGATTTCAGATTTACTGATTTTATCACAGCTTGAAATGTATGTAGCACACAGGGTACTCACATTGTATAAGTCAGCAGCCAATTTTTCAATGTACTGTTTCAGTTTATCAGCTGTTTTCAAGCCATCTTGAAAGAAACTGCAATGGGAAACAATGGCTATTTACCAGTAATATAAAAAGAAAAGGAACTATAATTACCCACAAAATCTGAAAATACACACACTCTCACAATGCACTCACCCCCAGACCCCCAGTGTAAACCTACTTCCAGTATTAAATAAAGCTGTACCAACAAATTGTGGCTATTACTTGACATCTGACAGGAGATATCACAGTCAATATAAATTATAATTGTAGTCCTCACATGATTTCCCAATGTGTATAGCCAACTCTATGTGGAGAATTCCTCCTGGCTGAGCTATATTTGAATTCAAAAGAGAAAGACCCATCAGCCACTGCGCAAATGAAGTCAGCCTCAAGACCACAGGAAAGGTATGTCTGAAGCAGAGGAACAGGCAGGAGGAAGGGAAGAGTTCTTTAAGTTTTCCCAGAGATCTCTGGGTTCCAACACACATGTGAAACAAGGACTTGAAAGCAATGAGGTATCAATGGATCTAGAAAGCTGTATCCTATCACACACGGTCTCCATCAGCCTCTTTTGAAACCTGGTGTGCAAGCTTCAGACTGTAAGTCAAGCACTAATTTTCTACATTCTAGGGGTGGCTTTTTCCTCCTGATATATTCCATGTACATCCTGAAGCATTCAAGAAACTTAAATGTATAGTACTAATTAACAGCAAATACATCTCAAAAATCCAGATCAAAGAGACATTAGGGAGTACTATATTGGGTCCTCATCTGGAGATTCTTGAAATGCAGACATACAGGCTCAACCTCAAAATCTCTTGCACACTGTGTAATAACATGCACTGAAAGATAGAGGTCTGGGTTGAAGATGTATGCTATGGCTATGTCTAGATGTCCCCCCAAAGCATTATGTGGTGGGGTTTTTCAGAGGTGGCTGGATCTAGAGTGTGTGATGCTGGGATTAAGTTTTGGAGCAGGAATCAAGGGTGTGTGATCACTAAATTAGTTCACTGATTGGTTTGACATAGTTCTGGTAGGATTATGGATGTCCTGCCCTTGGTGTAGCATGGATAAAACATAAGGGACAGAAAGAGGGTTAGTGTCCTCACTTGTCTCTTGCTGGTTCACTACTGCGCTGCCTGCTACCTTCTCTGCTGCCCTCTGCCTGCCGTAGTTCTCCTCTGCAATGCCCTTTGCCGTGCCATGTGCCACCCTGCCTGGGAACAGCTGATTATGGACTGAAACCTCTACAAACTGTGAGCTACATACACCTTTCCTCTTTTAATTCTGAGTGTCTGATATTTTGTCTCAGCAACAAGAAAAGTAACGAAGATAATGTGATTCCATTACTTTCTTGCTGTAAGGTCCTTGATAGTACTTTGTTTTCTTTTTTTTTTTTTACTTTAAAGAGAAAAAAAATAACAATGAAGACAAAACCAAAACAATACAAAAACACAAATAGAATTTCAAATCCAGACGATAGGAATTAACAATGGTTGTTCTATCACATATTGTTATCTTCAACAAAGTTGCTCAGATTACCAGATGTAAGAATGCAAGATTGATCAAACAATTAAAGACAAAGCACTTTGTTTTCCCTACTGAGATAAAATTCATGTAACACAACACTGCTTTAAGCGTAGCATTCTGTAGTTTTTAGTATATGTGCAATGTTTTACACCAGCACCACTGATTCTAGAACACTTCCATCAACTCCCAAAGAAATCCTACACATGTTATCACTGAGTACTACTTCCTCCTTCCTGTTGTCTCCAGGAATGACTCATCTGTCTTCCTTCTTTTCAAAAACAAGTTTTAAGTTTTGAAATACAATTTATTTTCTTTCACTTCTTGTGCTTATTAGGTCTATTTTGCCACATATTTATTGAATATTAAGTGAATGAATGAGACTTTGGGCAAGTTATTGATGCTTTTAGAGCTATAATTTCCTGAAAGGCTGTGAATAGTAAATGAGAAAATACATGTAAATATCTTTGGCAGGTTATTTATCCTAACCTATAAAGGAAGCCCTCAGTAAGTATTTGCTCTTATTATTGTATGTAAGATGAGAGATAATAATGTAATGTTTGGAAATGCTGTTGACTCTGCAGATCGTAATGATAATCTAGCAGCAAGATAATACATTTGTTTTGAGAGCAGCATGTTACTGACAATGTTCACATCTGCAAGTGAGGAGTAATTAGTGTGGGTGAGCTGAAATGCGGAAGATAGAATTTCTTTTCTTCTTCCCATATTCTTTCATTGCAATAGCTGCATCCACACTCCAGGGTTATAAAATGCTGTACAAGGGTGGAACTGGAAATAGTACTCAGAAGAAGAAATCTTTCAAGCAAAAACCTGAGTATAGAATGCTTTATAGGTTCTCAATATGGCTACAATCATATCTTGGTACTTGACTGCTTTCAAATGCCTAGAAATTGGTACTTGACATATTTTGATGGGAAAATATTGTCCTAGTCCTCATTATTTGGTACTTGGTACACAAGCTAGACTTTGCTGGTGTTGACTGCCAAGTGATTCACTACCATTTCCTGCCAAAACAATTTGTTTGGTGCCTGTTGTTCTGGTATTCACTGTGCCTTCTGGAACCAATTAATGACAAGTACTGAGGTATCACTGTATTGAAAGCCTTGAGGAACTGAATGAAGTAGAAAAAGAATAAAAATACTTGAAACAAAACCCACCCTGGCATCTTGTTGAGATGGAGTTTGTGGATCCAATCACAGGCCAGCTTATAGCCAAGTTCCATTTTTTTTTTTTTTTCCGGTAGTGGGAATTGAACTCACGACCTTGCACTTGCCAGGCAGGCGCTGTGCCACTGAGCTAAGTCCCCAGCCCCTTAGCCAAGTTCCATTTTAACCCAGTTCTGCCACCTGCCTTGTTAGTACCTCTGTTCATGAGGTTTTTTCCTACGCAGAGAGATTCTCATCTCTGCCTTATGGAGACACTTCTGCCAGAATCCAGGGGCCAAAGCCCAGCCATCCACCATGTCCAATTCCAAGTATTGCCTCCTCCAGGGCATAGCATTCTCCTCCTTAGCTATCCTGGCGTCTAACCTTCTCTGGATGCCCATGTCTGTCCCTGTGTAGCTCCACTATGATTCCTGGTGTACATGACCTACTTCTTCCACCAATTAACTCCTGAGTGAAGTCTTGTTTGATCCCTATCCAGAACCTAGTAGAGTATCTCACCTTGATAGAAGATAAATAAATATTTGTGGGCAGGGAAAAGGGAAAGAATAAAAATAAAGGCATAATGTATTATCTATATTAGTGTTGCTCTTTTCACATTTACTAACAAAGATTACCAAGTAAACTATATATATTTTAAAAAGCATCTCATATTTTAGAAAACTAATGTTTGTGTAGATATAACTTTACAGACTTAAAAATTTGAGCATGTAAGAAATTTCTAAAATTAGGTAAAATGAGATTTGCTATCCAAGTGTCATAATCCAAAGACAGAGATTCACTCGCTCTAGCAAAACTTTTAAAGTATTGAAATGTTTCTCACAAAACTGAAGTAGATGAAAGATGGTAAATTCTACCCAGAACTACACTCAGGCACCAGCATAACACGCTTCAGAGTTTCATAACTGCCACATTAGTCCAGCTATTCTACAGACAAACCTTATTCTATAAACGTGGAAACTGTTTCCCCCTTACCATATCCCTTTTTGTTTCTGAAGTACATTTACAGAAGGTAGAATTCACTTTAAAAACAGGAAAAAATGTTAACAAATCAAATTTCTGTAAATAATAACTTGGTCATCAAAAAGTTTTTCCAGACAAATAACCTGACAGTAAAATACATAAGCAGTTTTTAATGCCACTTGGAATATTATAATCATACTACCGTTGGAGACACTGGGGTTAACACTCTATGTGCATTATTGTGTTCTACTTTCACATCCTCATAAAATCCTCGAGGTAGGTGTTATGAACCTTAACCCAACTTGACAGGTTAGGATACTGAGCTTCAGTGAAGGACCTGATAGAGGTTATATGGTTATCCACCTGCAGAGTCAGAATTTGAACTTATCTATTGACTAGTTCGAGCCCTGTACTTTCCCCAGAATGCTAATGCTGGCCTCCCTGAATATTCAGTTTTATAGAGATCTTCCTAGGTACAAAATTATTGAAAGGAATAAAAGACACCTAAGAGAATTAAGTGTTTTACTTTTTGAATAGTACTTTATCTAGTCCAAATGAGCTTCACACTATTCTACTTATAACTATGAGTGGCCATCATATGGTTTTGGAAGAGTTCTTGCGCTATTTTTCCCTACACTTTCTATCAACTAATAAGACTAGTAGTAAGTGGCATATTTTCACATAAAGACTACTGGGAAACTCATGAAAGTCAGTCCACTGAGAAGGCTGCAAATAAGAAGAATGTGGTGTAACAGAAGCACAAACAAAATAAAAAGGTAGCTCAGCAATGTGAGCAAATAAAAAATGGTGCCAGTGTAGACAATGGATATTTCTCAAAGTATAATGCCTTTTCATAGAAGTCTCGGTATAAGTGCAAAGTGTTCTTAATGCCCAAAGTCTTTACTTTCATTTAAGTAAAATGACGCCAGAAAACAAAAACAAAAACCCTAAACAGCTCCTGGTGGGAATATATTATGGTATAAACCATTCAACAGGTGAAATACCAAGTAAGGGAGAAGGGTAATAGTAAGGGTCAGAAGAAAGGTTTCCTTAGTGACAGCCTCTTCAGGCACTTGTAATATGAGCTCCAAAAGCGGTCAAGATTAGCATTTTGAGAGAGACAGCATTTTCAAGTAATCAGTTGCCCTATGCTGAGTTATATAAAACACTGATTATGGAAGGCAATACAATTTTTTTAAGCTACATATAGCCACAAAATGAAGAAAGAAAATAGCATCAAGAAAACCAATGAGGCCAAAGGGCCTCCCTTGGGCTAATAATGATCGCAGCATTCTACTTACTTGCACTGTGCGTGATAGTACTTTATAAGATTCTGCAGCAGGTCCACACCCTTTTTGGTCTTGATTTCATTAACTTTGATTAGATACTGTGAAAATAAAACAGAATTTCATTCCAGATAGGATTCCTGAGTCCTGGGTTTAGACAGCAGAACACCACTCACGAACCCGTACAAGTAAGTGAGCCTTGGCCTTTAGACAAGCTTAATTTAGGGAATGCTGATGAGGCACAGTCACAGAGCATACAAAGCAAATGGATTAGATGTTAGTGTTTTGTAAATTTTTACAATTAGTTCACTAGATGAGCAGAAATAAAACACAGCAAAACTTTCTAGGATAGCTAATTATTTCTCCTTTGTACACAGTGGATCTCAAACTTATAGGTCATACGATCTTGAGAGATGGGTTTTTCTTTGTGGAAAACAAGAACAGCATTTTCTATAAAAAAATGCGCCAAAAGATGTAGATATTTTAAAACTAAGGAATGAACGGGAAAGATTTTTCCATTATTAACTCATTCAGCTAACTAAACTGTACTGGTTCTGACTTTCATTATTGACCAAAATTTTCTATTGATACTGTTTGCTTCTTGTTCACTTGTTTTATTATGTAAAAGCGTTTAAGCAGCCAAAGCTTTATGAGGAAGAGGAAGAAAAAAGAAAATTTCTGGGTGTGGTGGTACACAACTGTAATCCCAGCACTCAGGAGGCTGAGGCAAGGGGATCACCAGGAGTTCAAGGCCAGCCTGAACTATACAGGGACACCCTGTCTCAAAAACTAAAAAACAAAACAAAACAAAAAATTCAGAAGAGAAGCTTAAAACTGAAAAACTTTCTGTTTTAATGTTTTTTGAAAACTGAAAAGCATCTCCATCATGTAAAAGCAGCACCAGAAGTTAGAACAGGTCTCTAGATCAAACAGTGCTGGTGTTTAGCGGGAAATTCAGTTTAAGAGCCACTGGTCTAAGTTAAAGGAAACATGCTTTTCATTGCACTTTTTTTCATGAACTCAGACTTTCTTAATGACTTCATTTAAACTTTCATTCAAAACGGACTCAATAAAAAAATCAAAACAAACCATGCACTAAACATGTAACATCTGCCAGGGTTACCACTTATCAAAAATTTCCCCCACAGTCACTCACAAGCAACATTAAGGTTCTCACCAAAGAATCCTGTTTTGGCTTAAATGGCCCCATAGGACCAAGGCTCAAAATATCAGACAACAGTGCAATGGTGGTTCCCAAAGGCTTGGAGAAAAATGGAGATTAGAATCCTTAGGAAACAGTCCCCTGTCTAACACTCGACCTCAGCCTGCCTTTCAGCATAGTCTGCTCACAGGCAGGAGATTACAGCCAGTAACATTCTAGGCCAGTGATGGAAAAATTCTTTCTTACTTCACACATTTGGAGCTGAAAGAGGCGCCTTTCCTTCTCCATCTCTTCTGCAATCTCCGCTCCAGTTATCTCTGTGCGGATCATCCCATGCTGTTTCGCATGCTCTCTTTTCTCCTTCTCAATTTTTGTACTGTAATTAAAGCAGATGTCATTATTTTGTTAGAAACAAACTCATGTACAATATCAAGTATCAGCCTCAGTGTAAACCATGGACTCAGTGATAATTGTATATCCATGTAGGTTCATTAGCTATATCAAATGTACCACTCTGGTGGGAGTGAGCAATAATGGGGGAGGCTCTGCATGTGAACGTATGAGAACTGGGTCTTCTGCTCAAAGAGAAAGTCTTTCGGGCTAGGGATGTAGCTCACTGCTGTACTTGCCTAGCATACTGAAGGCTCTGGTTTCAACTCCTTTAGTGAAAGCTACTGAATATTTCTTAATTACTGAAGAGGCAAGACAGGATCTTCTTTAGTAAATTCTAGGCTCCAAGAGAATAAACACATTGCTTGGATTTTCATGTAGGAAACTTCTTACATTTTAACTCTGATCCTGCACATGCTGAATCCATAAAACTTCTCTCACATTTTGGTTAGCCAAGAGGAAATTTTGGCCATTTACCTTTTCTTGGGTAAAGCCCATTGAGATGAAAAAGAAGCACAAGGTTGGAGACCTGATGCTTTTCTTTTCCTTCTTGAGACAGGGTGTTGCTATGCAGTTCAGGCTGGCCTTGAGCTTACTTTGCAGCACAGGCTGGTCTCAAACTAGCAACAATCCTCCTGCATCAGCCTCCCAAGTGCTAGAATTACAGGTGTGCACCACCATTCCCAGCTGCTTTTCTTGATCATTGGTAGATTGTGATAAAATTATTTCAAGACAAAGTATATAACGACTTCTGTAGATTTGCATAAAAAGTAGTCAAAGAAATTTCCAATGGCCTCTGAACTTGGGCTATTTTCACATCCCAGTAACACATTTCAATCACTTAACTTAAAGTAAGGAGTGGGAGAAATCCCACTATATCCTATGAAGCTATTCTTTAGTAAGGAAAATAGGGTCAAGGGAGAACCAGAGAAAGAAGTAGGGAGGTCCACATTAAACCTGCAGTACCTGAGGCTAGTGCTTGGCTCTGATAAATGCTATTATAGTAATCATATCAATGATCAGAGCCCTCTTTCCAAAAATTCACTTAATTTGAAAATGGACTTCTAATTTTAGAAACTGTCTTTACTTTCCAACTAGGAATGCAAAGCCTAACTGACTTAACCTTCAAGTCTTAAGTTGTAGTTGTAGTAGTATAGACAAGATACCACAGAAAGTTAGTGCCTTCCCTATACGTACGTACATACACACACACACACACACACACACACACACACACACACACACGGAAAATAAAAATCAACCCATCAATCAATGAAAAATCTACTGCAAATCTGGCTGGAATTAACTCTAACTTACTGATGCTGTATTTAAGCAACTCTGATCACCCCAGGCTGGCAATTAAGAAGGTATGTGGTGAGGAGTTTAGGAGACAATACACATCAGCTTATGCATGGGGCGAGAAGTAGAAAGCTGCGGGAGCTTGAGAAGAAATACTGGGAGCAGCACGACTTAATGACGCCAGCCGGTGCTTCACCGTGGTGACTCAGCTGCCACTTGTTTCTTTCCCCTCTACCAATCCCACTAACGTGACAGGAAAGGTAAGACCTCTCACAGATGAAGTGATACCAAAAAGGAGAAGAAAATCCAACAAACATTGGGAGAGGAGGCCTGAAGAACAGTTTGTGCCTCACAGTGTGGCGCACTCATGCTTTCCACGCTCACACAGCTTCCGGGATGTCACTATACACAATCACTAGGCAGGACAGCCTCAGACACGACGTTTAGGATATTCTTCATATGAGCTGTCTTGGCATCTAAAATTTAACAGCTCAGAAGACGACTCACTGCTTTCTTGACAATTCTTGCTGACGCACATGAGATGAGCAACCAGGTGTTGGGGGACTTGTGCTGAGCAGCCAAGGATTACAAGATAATTAACATCAGCCTCGCCACTGAAAGTGAAAGTGAGCAAAATAACAAGAGGGGGAGGGGAAGAAATCCCAGGTCACCACAGAGCAGAACACTTTTCAAACTGTTAGCTAAAAACAAACAAAACAAAAACTCTCAAAAACCTGAACTAATGAGCTTTTAGAAACAGCATAAATAGAACAGGAGATCAAAATGCAGGGACAATCAAGGAAGTCCAACCTTACTTCTGGGAAGGGAGGCAAGGAAGAAAGGAAAAGGAGAAAACATTTACAAAACTGAAAATTTTACTTAAGAGTTGGAGACAGAAGAGGGACCGGCAGGACAGTGGCAGTGGCTGGGGAGCTGCTGCACGTTCGTCAGAAGCATACTTGCTGCCCAAGTAACATTCCCTGCCTCATCATCTGTAAAAAGGCCCTGTGCCCTCAGGCGTGGCTCAAGCTCACCGAGCTTAGTTTCCCAGGACAGTGCTGACACGTGAGAGTGCTACACAGGTACCTGGTCCATACTAGAATGCTGTCTGCTCTATAGTAAACTTCTACAGTGTTGAAACCACTGTTATTTGGCATTTCTACAATACTCCGCCACAGTAAATCCTAACTGATGCAAGTACTACGTATCTGAATCTCTATTTTATGTGTTCATTGTTTTTGACCAAGTAAGTGTGATAATTAAAAACTTTATAGAAACTACTTGAGTGACTACCATACTGACAACTGCTTTAATACATTATCTTGTCCTCAAAAAACCTTGACAAAGTAGGTAAATTTTACATTATTTTACAAGTGAAATCAGGCATAGTGGTGCATGCCTGTAATCCCAGCACTTGGCAGGAGAAATAGCCATGAGTTTGAGGCCAGTCTTGGACATAGTGAGTTCAAGGCCAGCCTGAAATAGACAGAGAGACACTGTCTCAAACACACACACACACCCCACCCAAGTAAGGATCAGCCAAGTAAAAAATTATCTTGGCTCACAGTCACAAAACTGATAATGATTCTAAGTCTGTGAAGTCAACTATTATACTTCACTGTCTCCTGAATTCTAAATAGAAGATCAAAGAAAATGTCCAGCCTACTTAGTTATTTCAAAGGTAATTAACTGTTTTTGTATGTAAGTCATTCTGTTTTCTGTGACTTGTCCTACTATATGAAAGAGAAAAATGTTTTCTTTTTTTTTTCCTGCACCATTACGCTTCAGTAAGAAAGAAATCTATTTTAGGATAAGTAATTTGTTCACAGGAATTTATTAAAAAATAAAGATATAACTTTCCTCGATAAGGCCCTAGTCCCAGGACCCACTCAACTATTTCTGAGTACTTCTCAGTAATCCTGAGCCACCTTTCGTGCAGAGACGTGTCGGCCCACAGCACTCTTTTATACTGACACAGCTCTTCAGGAACACTTTGGTTCTCAGCCTCATTTGTAACTATCCACACACAAAAGCACTCCTAAGATGGCAAGTCCCCAACAATACACTTTTTACACAAGCAATTACAGAAGTAGCTTAGGGGAAAGATGTTCAATCCTGAATTTTTTCTCCTTTTTCTTCTGCTTTCATTCTGCTGCTATTGCTGGTAATAGAATTATTTTATTCTCTTAAGGTTACAGTTACCCAAGATTATAGCCAAGACTTTCTTTCATGCCTTAAAATACAGGTCCCTCCCCATTCTACCCTACTGCTGTGGTGTTATAAATCTCTCAGAGTAATAATTATAAAGGAACATGGCATGATATGTACAGTAGGAAGATGAGCCAGGCCAGATGCAGAGCTTACCTTGCCCTTGCCCTGGCCAGGAGGTCTGAGCCCAGGGCCCATGTTACCTGCTCAGGATTGGGTCAGACAGACCCGGAGTGAATGCCAGCCAGACAGCTACGATTTCTGTGACCTTCCAAAGCCCAATAGCCTTTTGGCTTCAGTTTCTGACGTATGAACAAAGAGTGAAAGCTGTACACTAGTAGGTTGCTGTTCAGGGGTGGTGCATGTAAAACACACTACAGGCCATGGCAGGCAGAAGGGTATCATAGCATGGACATCAGCTATTACTTTTATTATTTCCCAATTGCTTTACTCCACAAAAATGTAAATGGTCCACAGTTGCACACCAGCTATCATGAAAGAAAAGTTGTAATAGTCATAGGCCTATAACTTGACAGGACCAGAGGCTATAAATACCAAAATAACATAGTAAAAGTATGTGTCACTCTAGATAATGAGCACTAATCACTCTTAACTAGGTCAGAGTACCCAACATCTTAGCCTTTACAAAGGCATACTAATGTTTTTTTGTTATGAAGGTATTAAGAGCTCTGTCCTTTCCCCAGTTATTTTTTCTTATGAAATTCTTAACAATAAAACAAACAAAAACAAAAAATCAAAACCATTACTTACAACTTTGTCTCATAATCTTTCCAGGCTTTGTCAAATGGCTTCTTGAGATCCTTAAAGAAGAGAAAATGAAATTGCATTTACTTTCCCTTAAAATGAATATACTGAAATAGTATCTTAGCAAAAAATGACTTCTTTTATAGGATATATAAAACTTTACACAAGGCACTTTGCGCACATTATAGCACCCATTACACAGAGAAGCCTGAGTGGGTCAGAAGGGAGGACGCTCTCGCTATGCTGCCAGAGCAGGACCCAGAGGTTCTGAGAGCCTGGTCCAAAGTGGTCACCCTGAGGGAGCTGGCTCAAGCCCAGCTTTCTCTCTCCCCCAGGGAGGCTCGCTCATCAGTCTTCCTAAATCTATTTAATCTTGTTCCTCTGCCAATACCATTATGTGAAGCACATCTTTTCTAATGATCACTGTCCAAGAACATTTTTTTAATGCAAAAAGATGCTCAGAGTGCCTTTCAAACACAACTACTGCTATGATATTAAAAGGGAAAGCAAACTGACCCTTTCAAGTGAATATGAAAATTTCTAAACACTTACTCCTTTGACTCCCTTTAGGTCTCCTTTTAACAGGGAATCCAAGGTGAAGATCACATTGTGGCTCAGACCCTGGAGCTGAAAATCGAAACAGAGGAAAGATGGGAGATAGGTGAAAAGAAATCGCACACAAAACCACAAACCTGGGTCCTACTGACTGAGCACTGCCGACATGAAGCTCGGTGGAAGTGCCTCACCTCACTGGACTCGCACTGCATCTCCCTAGATAGGCACAGGGCAATCCCCACACTGTGCTGAGGTGGGAAACGACAGAGTGAGCAGAACTGTGGTGTGAATTCAGAGGCTGTGTTCTGAGACACTATGCTACAGGATACATGTCCATCATTTCAGAACAATCACCCCCCATTTCTGATATTGTAGATATTAATTTGACTTTTCTTTACATATATATATATATATATATATATATATATATATATATATATATATATCTCTGTCAGAGTAAGAAGAACTACATAAAAGGCTTTCAGCACGGATCAGTATCTGAAATCAACCTGTCTGTCCTGCTTCCTGCATGGGAACATAAGCTCAACAAAGGCCGGGACCTTGACTGTTCCGCTCATAGTTATAGCCTCAGTGCAAGATTCCACTATAAACACAGGATCATTACCTACACCTATATCTTCAAGAGTTCCACCTATTCTCTCTTCCAGCAGATTTAGTGTTTCTGTTTTAATATTTAAGTTTTAAATTTTGTTTTAATATTTAGATCTTTGATCCATTTCAATTTTAGTTTAGTGCATGGTCAGAAACAGGTCTACTTTTAGCCTGCAGCATGTGGAAAGCCAGTTTTCCAGCAGCATTTATTAAAGAGGCTATCTTTCTTGCAGTGAACGCATTTGGTCTCTTTGGCAAAGATAAGGTGGTTGAATGTGTTTGGAGTTGTTTCTGCATCTTCTAATCTGTTCCACTGATCCTCAGGTCTGTGTTTTTTTTTCCCCCTAGTACCATGCTGTTTTTATCACAGTAGCTTTGTTGTGTAATTTCAAGTCAGGGAGACTCTGTTGTGATGCCCCTGCCTTGCCTTTGTTGCCCAGAATTGTTTTTGCTATTCTAGGTACCAAATTAATTTTAGGAACGTTTTCTCTAATTCTACGAGGTATGGTATTGGTATTTTGCTTGAGATTGCATTAAATGTGTATAACAATTTTGGGAGTATGGCCATTTTCACTATGCTGGTTCCTCCTACCCAAGAGCAAGGGATATTTTTTCATTTTCTGGTATCTTCTTCAATGTCCTTTTTCAGAGTATTGTAGTTTTCAATGTAAAGATCTTTTACTTTTTTGGTTAGACTGATTCCTAAATATTTCATTTTTTTTGGATGCTATTATAAAAGATGTGGTTTCCTTAATTTTTCTCTCAATGAGTTTGTTATTTGCGTACGGGAATGTTACTGATTTCTGAGTGCTGACTTTGTATCCTGCTATGTGACTGAATATGGTTAGGAGTCTTTTGGTTTTTGGGGTCTTCTATGTAAAGTATCATGTCATCCACAAATAATTTAACTTCTTTCTTTCCTGTCCTTATTCCTTTTATTTCCTTCTCTTGCTTAATTGCTCTGGCTAATGTTTCACAACTATATTGAATAGGAGTGGTGACAGTGGACATCCCTGATTTGTTCCTGATTTTAAGAGTGAAAGCTTTAAAACGAAGGAGTAGAGTTTTCACTGTTCTGAGGCAGTGGCCTGGGGCCCCTTGACTTCAAGATATCCAAAGAATTAACAAAGGAGGAGGAGATGGATCTGCTGCTTAGCTAGAGAGAATAGTGACAGAGGAATGGGCCAGGTGGTGATGGGGTCAAATGTGAAAAGAACAAGCAACATAAAGACTAAACAGAACTGAGAATATATCTGTCTTTAAGGAAAGCCCTATAATCTTGGTAAAATCAGTCTAAGTGGCATAGAACCAAGACAGCACCGCACTGTGGATCTCCTTATGCAAAAAATCAAATTTACTCAGATGTGTGTTCATTTGTTGATCTGTCTACCCACTGTCTACCCTTCACTTAACCTACTCTGTGCCAAACACTATGCTAGGAATGGTCAGGTAGTAATGAGTAGGACAGTCTTCTTGCCTTCACAGGTCTTACACTACAGGGAAAGGCAGTGGGTTTGTAGCCACTGCCACCACACAATGCTATAACCTGTGACTGGATGAGGGAAAGTATAGTGTGAGAAGGACCAGTGCTCACCATGATGGGCTTTGCACTGAACTTCGTAAGTGCATCCGCAGAGTGGGGTGATATATCCTACTGTGAGTAGCTATTGTGAGGGTGGAATGAGTTAAGGTATATGAAAAGTGTTAATTTACTCCTTGACATCCAGGAAGTGCCGAATGCATGTTTATTTTTATAATACTATGGAATGCTAAATATGAGTAAGGCAGTGTGGGAACACAGAAAGGCAGGTAACAGGAAGACCTCCTCTTTGGTTTTTAACCTCTCCCTAATTTTTCCTGTTGTTTTCTCTATGCTTCCTGTACTTCCTAAGTCTTTACTTCCCTGAACTCTATTTTTATATACAAGGAAGGTTTTTCCAATGCATACCACCAGAGGGCTCGGGTCAGAAACAGCTACTCTTTCCTTCCTCCTTGTGCTTTTTTCTTTCCATAGAGATTTCTACCAAGACAATTCCATCCATATGATTTTGCCCCATCCATACAGAGGAACAGCTTCCGGCTGGCAGGGCAGAGGGCTACAAGCTGAGTTGGTATTTTATAGGATTTGGGACACCGGTTTTTGGGAAGTGCGGCAAAGTCACTTAGATTTTATACTTGCCTGTGACCCTCCAAATAGCCAGATATAAAAAATTATACAGAGTTGTACTTATTAAAATTTTATTAGGGAAGCAACGAGAGAGGAAAATGACCAAAAAGGCTGGTGAGGGAAGAATGTAGGTAATAATGGCAGGAAACAGTGAGAAAACACTACTGTCATTGAGCACACGAGGAAAGAAAGATTAACAGGACTCATACTCTGCTGCAGATGGATAGCAGGATAAAATCTTGCTCTTGAATTTTCAATTTCATTCCTGAGTGACCAGCCTGCAGCACTCCCTATATTTCATTATCTTAGGAGTTTGCACGGATGGTAAGGGAGGCTGAGACCCACAGGTCTCTGCTAACAAAGCCAGTATCTAGCTATCTGTCCCCCCATTCATGAAGACCTTCACCTTATTTTTCTTCATGGTGTTTATTATTCCTAACAATGTATGTGCCTGCTTCCTCATCCATTTATTGTCTCACCGGCTGTCAGGCAAGCTGCTTGAGAGCAGTGTGTACGCGTCTACTGCTCACTTCCAGTAGCCCTTAACGGAGCTCAGAACACTGCCTGGTGGAAAGGGGCTGCTCAAGGACTTGCAGAAGGAATAAAATGTGGCGCTGTGGTGCATGAGGTTCTTCCACACAGGGCTGTTTCTACTGACAGAAACGGAGGTGCCTGGCAGTAGGTGGTGGCTAAATACATTATGGAATTCCTGACCGACAACCACAAAATGAGAAAGCTCTTCATGCCTTATTTTAGAAATAGCTCAAAATAAATTTTTATGTGATAAAAGTATGGTGTAAAACAATACTTTCGGTGCACATGCATTTATGTAAAAGGGGTGAGATGTCTATGCTTAACTTACTTCTGAGCAAGTGTATAACACTTCCCTCCAGGGATGGAAACTTGGGAAAGGGACAGGGTGGGAGAGGAGACTCCGTGCATTAAAAGGAAAAAAAGTTACTGCATAATTTACTGTTTATTCAAGAAAAGGTCAAACTTTAGAACAAAACATTAAAAGACCGTGATTATAAATACTGTTTAACTTTTAGTTTGAAATTATGGTTTTCATCAGCATCTCAAATCCTTGAGAAATAAAGCAGTAAAAAATACACTGTTACTGTTACCTTGATCTGAAAGTTGTTTTACAAAACAACAAGGAAGGAGTCAGCAAATCTAGTCAGTGTTAAGTGTGAAAGTTGCTCTAAAGAACACGCCCCTCTGAAGTCATGTTCTAACCACACACGCTAACTTTTCATGGCATCATGTGGTTAGGCATGGCGAGAGAGCTGTGGCTGCACTGATAGAAAACCCCAAGAATTACGCATTTCTTCACGATTGTCTACACATATATTGGTGGGGACTGTAAGAAATCAAGAAGTCAAAACAGTTATGTATCTGAAGTTCAGAATTTCCCCCCTCTCCCCTCCATGCTTACCTATGAAAAGGACATAGGAAAGAAACTGGATGCTTACAAACTCTTTCTGAATTCCCGGGAAAAAGTTAACTTAAAAAACTAGTAAAGGGGGTTAACTTAAATGACAAGTGACTGGTAACTATTACAAAGTGCCATTATAAAGCTACGGAGAAAGGCTGAAGAGGAAGAGATCAAACTTAAAGAAATTTTTAGAAAATATTCACTGAAGGATAAAACAAACTTTCCTGGAAATCTCAGTGAAGACAAAGATCTGTTCTCTCAAACATTTAGGGTATTACTTTTTGACAGAGATTAGTTTATATGACTTTATAGTTACAGGATCCTGTAATTTTCCCGTTTTTCTTTTCTAGTTCTTTCAGGAACCCTTCACTGTCTGACAAGATTTTGGTACCTGATATGCAAAAGTCATCTCCACAGGCAAATACAATACGGTTAATAAAACACAGTAATGACATAAGTGGACAAACTTCTTGTTATCACCTCCACTAGTATTCCTTAAAAAGCCTTCTCAATCTGCTGTGGAATTCCTTCCCCCTTATTGCACTAAAATTCCACTGATTACTCCTATTCACTCAGCTTCCAAATCACATCCTTTCCGGTAAGGATAAAGCTGAAATAATACAAACTTCTTTACATGATTCAAGTCTGCAAAAAAGTTGAAGAGTATGTTTTTAAAAATCCTTTCCCATTTTATTGAGAAAACGGCACATTAAAAACCATTTCAGGGGTCTGGGCACACAGTTTGGTGCTGGCAGAGCACTTGCTTACCGTACAAAAGGTCAGAGTAGATCCTAGTGCCATTAAAAAAAATTTCAGAAATGATGCTTAGGTATTGTAAATATATTTGCTTTCCAAACA